TCGATGATTCATGCCATTTTGGAATCCAAGATGGCGGCTTCCGGTTTTGTGAAAAACTGTCAAATAGCCAACGATATGGATATTTTCGGAACCGAGACGACATGCAGAGGCCGGAAATCGATGATTCATGCCATTTTGGAATCCAAGATGGCGGCTTCCGGTTTTGTGAAAAACTGTCAAATAGCCAACGATATGGATATTTTCGGAACCGAGACGACATGCAGAGGCCGGAAATCGATGATTCATGCCATTTTGGAATCCAAGATGGCGGCTTCCGGTTTTGTGAAAATCTGTCAAATAGCCAACGATATGGATATTTTCGGAACGGGAACGACGTGTAGAGGCCGGAAATCGATGATTCATGCCATTTTGGAATCCAAGATGGCGGCTTCCGGTTTGTGAATGTTTCAAAAAAATGTTATGCAACAAATTTTAATTATTTTTTTTTTCGATGATCTGTAATTAATCTTCTTACATTTACAAGAACTTCATAAATTCAATGTTGAACAACATGTGATACCAGTGACTTGGTTGTGGAATGCATGTAGCACTAGAGGTTGTACAGGTACAAGTGGAAATGGCCTGCCGAGATTTGCTCAGCCGAGTTCGGTAGAAAAAAACTAATTGTGTGGATAGTACTTAACATAACAGGAACTGGGGTTGAAGTTGTCGCTGACCGAATAGTCAAAGTTATGAAACACAGTGAACGAAGAATCCTTGTCACTGAAATCGATGTTTAGCCAATAAGACATCATGGACACTGCCACTACCAGTGCACGGTATGTACTGAAGTAGACCCTTTAAATTAAACTTCAATTTAAATTCCACTGTTTGACATGGTCAAAAAAAATGTGGTATACATGTATGTTCTGCAAAACCATTTCATCCATTACTAATTGAAAGAGTCGGCTCAACATAATCAAGGCGTCCTATAGTTTGACGGCAGTGGCATTTCAATAGCGATTTACGGGGTAACCTATTTCATCAAGCGGAATATTATTTGGTAGAATATCCCATTTCGCGTAATGTCCTATCTTGCAGAAATTTTATCCTTATACCGCAAAATAAGATTCTGCAAATCGGAATTGCGCCAAAGAGAACTTCGCGAAATAATTCTTTTCGCAAACATACGAATCCGAGTAAATTTTTCAATTTGTTGATTTTTTTCACACTATAGAGTTTTATAATTTGATTTATACTGATACATGTGCCCTGATTCATCTATTCTTTTTGCAAGCAATGAATAAATTATAAGTTTTTTTTTCAGAAATGAGCGCTGGTATCAGTGCACAGTGGTACAGAGTGCAGATTTAGGTGGAATGATATGTTTTGAGCCTGAAATTGAAACTTTAGACTAAAAGTCTCTTCTACAAAGTTGTTCCTTATAGTTAGGCCCTCATTTTTATTGCAATGAATTCTTGGGTGGTTCTTATTATCAATCAAATCAAAAATCTAACTTTTTTGTTTGAATAAATTAAGGTATACATTCTTGAGCAAAGTTATAGCTGAGATAATTTTAAGCAACTTTGTTGGAAATAACTTTTTTGTATCTCTTATATTGGCCGATTTAGAGCTATTTTCTTGAATTGAGTTAGGGTGGCTCTTAAAAAAACAGTTTTTTGCTCTATTTATCTTATTTCGAATTTCTCAGCAAAAGAGTCTTGAGATAACTTTTAGATCTTAAAAAGGCGCAAATTTTTAATGCACAAAACTTGTCAATATCTTTCACCGATCAAGAGTTATTGACGTTTGTATACTAAAAATATGCACTTTTCAAATGTTCATATCTCTGGTTGGGGCAAACAAAAAAAAAAGTTTTTTTGCAGCATTTGAAAGGGCGTATGTTATTCTCAATAATATGAAAAAAATAAAGGTATGTTATTTTTTAAACTCGTATAAAATCAATTTGAATTTATACATATTTATTACTATATTTGAGTATATCTTTTTTATTAGAAGAGATACAGGCAACAAATTCAGCTATAAAACATTTGTCTTAAAGAGTTTTAAAAGTTTCTAGAATATAATTTTCATGAGAATTTTCAAATAAAAAAGTTATTGCTAAATAACTATTTTTTCCAGGAACACCCTAAGTCAACTCCGAAAAATCACTCTAAAATGAGAACGTTAAGAGATAGAAAAAAAAAATGACATTGCTGACGTTTGCAAACACCAAAAGAAGGGAATTTTTAAGAACAAAAACTTCTTCCAAGACACTAAATGTTCAAATATTGAAATAAATGTATTAGCACATTTTATATAAATTTGTCATTAGAATGGTCCTATGAAATCCATCTTTTTTATTTGAAATTTATCATGAAAGTCATCTTCTAGAGACTTTTGAAACTCTTTAAGACAAATGTTTTATAGCTGAATTTGTTGCCTGTATTTCTTCTAATAAAAAAGATATACTCAAATATAGTAAAAAATATGAATAAATTCAAATTGATTTTATACGAGTTTAAAAAATAACATACCTCCATTTTTTTCATATTATTGAGAATAACATACGCTCTTTCAAATGCTGCAAAAAAACTTTTTTTTTTGTTTGCGCCAAACAGAGATAATAACATTTGAAAAGTGCATACTTTTAGTATAAAAACGTCAATAACTCTTGATCGGCGAAAGATACTGACAAGCTTTGTGCAGTAAAAATTTGCGCTTTTTTAAGATCTAAAAGTTATCTGAACGCATCTTTGCTGAGAAATTCGAAATAAGATAAATAGAGCAAAAAAACTGTATTTTTAAGAGCCACCCTAACTCAATTCAAGAAAATAGCTCTAAATCGGCCAATTTAAGAGATACAAAAAAGTTATTTTCTACAAAGTTGCTTGAAATTAGCTCAGCTATAACTTTGCCGAAGAATGTATACCTTAATTTATTCAAACAAAAATAGTTATATTTTTGATTTTAATGATAATAAGAACCACCCTAGAATTCATTGTCATAAAAATAAGGGCCTAACTTTAAGAAACAACTTTGTAGAAGAGACTTTTAGTCTAAAGTTCCAATTTCAGGCTCAAAACATATCATTACACCTAAATCTCCATTCTGGACCACTGTGCAGTGGACTAAAAATGCTTCGCACTAATGGCATGGTTCCTCTGTCGAAGGGCATTACCGCAATAATATACTGGTTAGCATTGACTGACGGGGTATGCTTTAATTTCATCATTTGCTTGTATTAAGTATCGATAAGTCTTAGTTATGTAAATAAGATTTAAGTCTGTCAGGTTTAAGACTAGAGTTACTTTGGCAGTGGCAGTGTCCATGATGTCTTATTGGCTAAACATCGATTTCAGTGACAAGGATTCTTCGTTCACTGTGTTTCATGACTTTGACTATTCGGTCAGCGACAACTTCAACCCCAGTTCCTGTTATGTTAAGTACTATCCACACACTAAGTTTTTTTTTCTGCCGAGCTCGGCTGAGCAAATCTCGGCAGGCCATTACCACTTGTACCTGTATAACCTCTAGTGCTACATGCATTCCACAACCAAGTCACTGGTATCACATGTTGTTCAACATTGAATTTATGAAGTTCTTGTAAATGTAAGAAGATTAATTACAGATTATTGAAAAAAAAGTTAATTAAAATTTGTTGCATAACATTTTTTTGAAACATTCACAAACCGGAAGGCACCATTTTGGATTCCAAAATGGCATGAATTATCGATTTCCGGCCTCTGCATGTCGTCTCGGTTCGGAAAATATCCATATTGTTGGCTATTTGACAGTTTTTCACAAAACCGGAAGCCGCCATCTTGGATTCCAAAATGGCATGAATCATCGATTTCCGGCCTCTACGCGTCGTTCCCGTTCCGAAAATATCCATATTGTTGGCTATTTGACAGTTTTTCACAAAACCGGAAGCCGCCATCTTGGATTCCAAAATGGCATGAATCATCGATTTCCGGCCTCTACGCGTCGTTCCCGTTCCGAAAATATCCATATTGTTGGCTATTTGACAGTTTTTCACAAAACCGGAAGCCGCCATCTTGGATTCCAAAATGGCATGAATCATCGATTTCCGGCCTCTACGCGTCGTTCCCGTTCCGAAAATATCCATATCGTTGGCTATTTGACAGTTTTTCACAAAACCGGAAGCCGCCATCTTGAATTCCAAAATGGCATGAATCATCGATTTCCGGCCTCTGCATGTCATCTCGGTTCCAAAAATATCCATATTGTTGGCAATTTGACAGTTTTTCACAAAACCGGAAGCCGCCATCTTGAATTCCAAACTGGCATAAATCATCGATTTCCGGCCTCTGGATGTCGTCTCGGTTCCGAAAATATCCATATTGTTGGCTATTTGACAGTTTTTCACAAAACCGGAAGCCGCCATCTTGAATTCCAAAATGGCATGAATCATCGATTTCCGGCCTCTACGCGTCGTTCCCGTTCCGAAAATATCCATATTGTTGGCTATTTGACAGTTTTTCACAAAACAGGAAGCCGCCATCTTGGATTCCAAAATGGCATGAATCATCGATTTCCGGCCTCTACGCGTCGTTCCCGTTCCAAAAATATCCATATTGTTGGCTATTTGACCATTTTTCACAAAACCGGAAGCCGCCATCTTGGATTCCAAAATGGCATGAATCATCGATTTACGGCCTCTACACGTCGTTCCCGTTCCGAAAATATGTATGTACTCATGTTGTCCGGTGAATCCACTCGAAGTACACTTCCAAGTTTGTTTTTTTGGCTAAGTCCATTCCTCAGAAAACACTTAGAATGTTTTGGCTCTTTAACCGCGTTATTTCAAAAAACCGTGTAAAAAAAAACCGCGTTATTTCAAAAAACCGCGTAAAAAAAAACCGCGTTATTTCGAAAATCGTCGTAAAAAAAACCGTGTAAAAAAAAACCGCGTAAAAAAAAACCGTGTAAAAAAAGACTTCAGTGTACAACTTTTTCATGTCTGTTTTAAAAGATTTGATTGTGTAAACCATGCATTTCAGGGCTTTCATTCGAACCACGTTGAAAAAATAAATCAATTACCTACTATCTATTTATTTAACTTTACTCAACATTTATAAAAGACACGGTTTCCAAACCTTGCGAAGCAGCTCTCAGCCGTTCTTCCTTCTTGAGTCGCTTCTGCTTCAGTGAGTTGCTGCTTTTCTTCCGCTTCACACTGCCGTTGGACTTTTCCACTCTGGTTTCTTCTTCATTTTCTTCATCGGAATGACTGTTTTCCGGTTTGCCGTTGGGTTTCACATTACTGCCATTTTGTTGCGCATTTTGGGTATTTTTTACCGGTTCCAATTGCAACAGTTTACACAGTCGTACATAGTGGCTCATAATTTGTGAGTTCAAGTTGAACGTTCTTAGTTTTTGCAGATCATTGCCGATTGGCTTCCATGGAATGCTCTTAAAATCAGCATTTTGTTTCTCAAGGCTTTGCAGCTCTACCAGAAACTGGACGAGTTCACTGAACTCATTTTGGGATATTGTTAGTGCCTTATGCGCATTCTCCATGTATGCACTCAAATTTGCAACAACAGCTTTCACTGTTTTCTGAGCTGTTTGAGAATCTGTATTGATGAACCTTCGATTTTTCACAAATTCACGTAGAAGTAAAAGCGATTGAGTCTTCCGGACGGTTCTGGTTTCCTTCTTTAGGCCATTGTCTGATAGTGTTTTTGCTAAACGCCAATTGCCTGACCAGTTCATACGGAACAGTGCCTGGAACACATTCAACGTAAGAGCTGGATTTCGCTCGATGATAAATTCGTTCAAATACTTTCCGAACACCTTATCTATGTTGGTATCTTTGCCATTTGCGTTGTTTTTCTCGATCAGCTGGGAACAGATGACGATGAACTGGCACGCCTTAAGAATATATTGATTCTTGTCCGGGAATGACGAACCTTTAGCTACCTTCTCCATCAGGTCAGTTAAGATCTGGGGCAGTTGTTCGGCCGAGACATCCTTGACATCTACGTCGAAATGTTTTATTTTCACCAAACTATTGAAGATCTGGCGATACCTTTCCAGAATCTGTTTGTGTTTCGTTTCTTTTATTGCTATCGGTAGCATTTCGAAAATGTACAACATCAATTCCAGACAGATAATCATATTTGGACCATGTTTCAGGTAGGCATCGATCAGGTCGAACACTCGCATCCGGAAATGAGTTAATGTTGTCTCTACTCGTTCTTCTGCTTTCGTCGGTTTCGTCTTTTTCGACTGTTTGTACATTTTGAATGCGGCTGCCAATGCTTCATCTAGCTTACGACCTTCTTCGTCTCCCATCGCGTCCAAGTCAACCGACTCGGTATCGGTTTCAGGATTGGCTCCTCCCAAGGCTGTTTGAATAGCCATGCGCATCTTATCCGTTACTTTATCGTCTTCTTCATCGCCAGAGAATTGCTCCTCTTCCTCGTCATTTTCGCTTTCAGTATTCTCGTCTGCATCATCTGAATCGTTTCTGCAAAAAATAAAGAAACATGATAATAAAAACTTGTATACATTTTTCATGTAAACTCACCCATCAGCATCTGCCCCGCTAATGGCATCATCCTCATCCTTCTGAAAATCGTTTTCTTCGTCGTCATCTTCTTCAGCAGCAGTCAGAGGATTACTCTTGTCCTTAAGATTGATGACCGATAAAATCTGATTGAAAGCCGTTAGTGTCATTTCTCCCGATAGATGCGGAAAGATGTGCCCAATAACTTTTCTCAGGAGGTGCGAGTTTTGAGACATCAAGTTCAGGAACAAATCGATCACCACCTCAATCCATTCGGGTTCGTCACTCTTCCCATTTTGGTTGATTTGCATCTTGACACTTGTTTTTTTACTTTTTACTCGCTTCATAACGCTATCTAATTCATCGATAGAATTACTCGCCAGGTCCGGATCACTGAACAAATGAAGGCCCATATACATCAGTAGTGTGTGGAAAACATTGTTCAGCTTTTTGTCTTTCTTGTCCTTGGAGTGAACGACGCTGTACATACGGTTCCAGTGTTCAAGATGCTCTTCGCTAAGTTGCACCCGCAGACACTTACTTCCCATGGTTCGGAGTACGTCTTGCAAATGATCAACTATCGACAACAGGAAGGATTTTTCATCTGCCAATTTTGCATGTCGATGTTCTAAGCAGTGGAAAAAAAGCGATTTCATTGTCGGGACCAATTCCGCCGATATAGCTGTAGCTTGATTTTTGGTACTCTTTAGAACCTTTTCTCCGTCAGATGAATAAAACAGACCCAAGTTTAGGAGGAACTTTACAATGCTTGTCCGCCATTCGGTGTCTGCTAGTGTGTGTCGATTCGACAGTAGCTTCTGAAGAGCTTGGGCAGCGTGAATTCTCTCGGTGTTCAACACTTCTGTATTGTCGGTCGCCAGAATTAGTTTCTTCAAGATAGTGGCGGCCTTTTTGACGCTCTCTCCACTCATAGTGGCTAACAAATTTTGTATAATTTTGTTAGAAGCATACTTTTCAATCAATATACTACTTGGTGGAGTGACCAATCTTTCAAAGATGGCAAGTTTTACATTCTCTTCGGTTATTTTCGGATAGCACTGGTTTAGTGCTTCAAATGTTTCCTGATACATATCTCGAACGTCTTCACTAAGCTGACTGAAATTTTTGATTTTCTTCATCAACATCTCCAGTAGAGCTGTACTTAGCAGATCCGGAATGGGTGAACAGTCCTGCATTTTGTTCATCATAGTTATCAGTAGTCGCAAGGCAACTATATCCTTGAATTTGTGCACACTATTTTCATCCAGAAGAATTGGATCGACGCCATGGGTCCAAAATTCGCCAACTTTATTCTGCTTGACTAGATAATCGATTAGGAAATCGTACAGCGGATGGTTTATCGTAAGGGTATCCTTAATGTCCCATAGAAGATTTGCTAAGTACTCAAAATTCTTTACGTGAATCAAATGCGGCGCTCCAAAGTTATTTTCGAAAAACTGTTGGTTTACTGACTTCTTATGAACCGAAGAAGCTGTTAGCAAAAAATAAATGGTATCCATTGAATGCTCTTCCTTTGAAATGTTTACTGCTGGCTCGATTACGGGCCAAAGTACTTTTGTAAACTTTTTATTATCGATCTGGAACAAAAAAAAAAGCTGAGTTCAAAAAATAAACAGTTACCAATAACCTGTCTCATTTACTACCTTTTGCACAAGTTCGCTGAGGTACATAATCGCCAGGGGCGTTACCACCTTGTACATTCCTTTCTTTAGTGTTTTCAACACTGTTTGAAGCTCCATGTCAGAGGCATTTTCTATCAACCCAGAACTGATAATCGCCCCGCATACGGAAACTTTTCCCACCCTCAGTTCCAATTTGGTCTGCTGGGTAACGTCGTCTCCTTTGTCAGTATCGGACAATTCCGACTTCACCAGCGTGAATATTTCGGTGATTGTTGGACAAAGCACAGTATTTTTCACTTGTTCCAAGTATCCAACGAGTGCAGTGAAAAATCCCGCCCTCGAGGAGTGGCTGTTGGAACCGACACCACGGATCAATCTTTTGAGCGCGTAAGCTCGTTCTTTTTCATGCTGCAAAAGAAATGAAAATAAACCCTTCGTTCCCGTTATGAGGTTATGCTACACCGAACCAACCTTATCCTCTCCATCTTCATCGCTGGCAATAGTCAGGAAGGACACCAATTCAGAGGCCCCCTTGAGGCGGATTTCCTCATCTTCGCTAATAAATTTGTCGAAAAACTTGAACACTGCTTTGTTGAACAATTTTCCACTTTTACGCTCCGTTTTCAGCATCATTTTGCGAACAAATATACAATTCACATGTGAAGGATGAAATTAAAAATCTAAACGCGAACAAAACTTCGAAACATGCTTGCTGTGGGACCACGAGCACTCTGACGTTTGGTTTGGGAAATTTCCCTTTGTTTGGGATATTTTGGGATCATTCTGTTTAACGGGGGACAATCCCGTTGTATTTCTTATTCATATTCGGTAAAATTTAAAATTCAATGAATCTCGAGTAAATTTTCAAATTGACTTATTCGTAAGGGACCATCAATGGGCCAATCATACATTACATACCACGCTAACTTGAAAGTACCCTAATAAAAATAACCATAAACGAACGATAACCCAAATCATTGAACTATTCCACAAATGGTTTGGATGATACCCAGAACACGTCGTTAAGCAAATTAACCATACAATTTTTATTACACGGTAACCAGCGTAAACACATATATGAGTAAAAAAATACACATTTTTTATATTTATATGCAGCTGTCAAAAAATGTGTAAATTTAGAGATCCTAAAATGTGTAAAAAATACACATTTTAAGAATGTAGTACCAGTCAAAAAATGTGTATTTTTATACTCATTAATGGGTAAAAAAAACTTCAAACTTGTTGACGCACGCCATTTGCTAAATTTCAGTGAAGAACAGCAGGAAAATTGAGGAACTACGGTCCAAACTGGACAGTGCGCAACGATGGACATTCTAGAGGGTAGGTGATTTATACTTTTTTCATAGCTTTTAGTTTTAGTTTAGTTTATATACCTACTTCATATACTGATTTTTGTTTTTCTTCCCTTGATTTGTTTCCCGTGCTGAGCATCAATGCTACCGACGCCAGGGAGGAATCTCCCATACCTGGACCCTACCTATCGACCCATCAACTCATGAACCGGAAACCAATGGCTTCACTTCCCTTCCGAAGGAAGGCGTGATCCTCGGCGCGATCAGAGATGTTATGCCTCAGAACATCCCGGCAGCGTCGACTGGGATTGAGAGTAAATCACGAGGAAATCACGCTTACCAACACCACCGGTGCCGCTACTTATTTTTGTTGATTATATTTCTGTTTTTAATAAAATATATACAATAATCGAGCAATCTTTATTTTACCATTGACACAAATATGAAAATTCCGAAGTTAATAAAAAACCATGAGCACTCATTATATTTAAGTTCTAGAAATGATTACTTTTTACACATTTTGCTATAAAAACCGTTCTTGAAAAATGTGTAAAAAATACACTTCTTTTGACGTTTGCTGGGTTTACACATAAATGTGTAAACGCAGTTTACACATTTTATGAGTAGGCCCCTTTTTTCACGAAATGTGTGAAATTTTACACATTAATGTGTTTACGCTGGTTACCGTGTAGGGTACCCATTAATGGTTGAAAAAGACCCATTTTGAAGAAAAGTGGCTTAACTCATTAAATGAGTAAATTTTTTACCCATTAATGAGTATCTGTTACCCATTAATGAGTAATTGTTAATCGTTAATGGGTAACAGATACTCATTAATGGGTAAAATTATTTAATCATTAATGAGTTAAGCCACTTTTCTTCAAAATGGGTATTTTTTTACTCATTAATGAGTACTTTCAAGTTAGCGTGAATAGAACGTTAGTAGAAGGCTGTTTTATCAACAATCAATACGAAACTAACGATTTTAAATTGGCTCACTACTTGATTAGCCTATTGGTCCCAAGCAAACGATTAACGTATCCCATTCTAGTCGAAATTCTAGTACTACGCAATGTTTGTTTTGATTCGATATGAAAGTTTGACAGATAAAATGAGGGGTTATTGGTTTTTCCTATGTTTCGAGGGGTGAATCGATTAGCTTGGGACCGAAGAGGGTACCAGAGCTGAGCCAAAAAGTTGAGCACATTATTTCGGGACCTTCTAGTCTTAGAGTTACCTCTATGGTTTTATGGCGGTAAGCTCCAATCGGTATTATCCCTGGATTAAATCCCGATCAAGAATGTTCGGCTGCTTTGATGTCGACATCAGAGTTATTCAACACGATGCTATGCAAACAATTCGCAGATCATCCAAACAGGGACGGTATTAAAAGTTAATCCGAGTTGGAGCTTACCACCATTAGCGGCATCTTTTGGATCGATTGGGATTTGATAAAATCCTGATTTTAAATCCAATTTTGAAAAATATACACTATCTCCAAGATTATCCATGATTTCATTGATGAGTGGAATTGGATATACAAAAGGCTTAGTTATCAAATTTAAAGCCCTAAAGTCCACTACAATTCGATATTTCTTATTTCCAGCTGCATCCAAGTCCCTTTTTGGTATACACAAGACTGGTGCATTCCACGGGCTTTTACTTGGTCTGATGATACCTTGCCTATACATTTCTTCGATTTCTTCATTAATTTGCTTTTTTGTTGCTTCTGGGAATCTGTATTGCCGTTTATTAATGGGTACGTTCGTTGAAGTTTCTATTTCGTGCACTGCCGCATCTGTGTGGGTCAGTTTATCACCCTCAAGAAAAAACACATCACTAAAATTACTTAAAATTGATTCAATTGATTCTAAAGCGCTTCGTGATAAATGATCAAGTTCGATCTGTTCGAAGATTTTATTATATCGTTCGTGTCCTTGAAGCATTTTAATATTTTTGTATTTGACGATATCGTAGTCTATGTCAGCATTTAAGTCCAACATTTCTCTGTCGTCATATTCACTTCCTTCTTCATTATATTCTTCATGATAAAAATCATTTTCCGACGGGTCATCTGTTTCCATTCAATTGAATGTATGGACTTGTGTAAAATCTTTACACTCGTCTTCTTGATAGTTTTTCTTGCAAGTGTCAAGCTCAAAAATAGCATATTCAAAATTTCTTCCAATTTGTGCTACATGTTTTTGAAGGAACTCTCCTCCGAGTACACATGGTACTAATAAATGTGTCATTAAATGAAATTTTGCTGGGAATACTATGTTTCCTATGATTAAACCTATGTTAACTGATCCCATTGTTTTTGTATTTCCACCAATTCCCGCTATTGTTATAGTATCATTTGTATTTACTTGGTCTATTCTTAGTGATTTGACTGCTTCATATCTGAGCAGATTTACTGATGAACCTGTATCGAGTAAACATCTCAGCCTATATGCGGGGCTATTAGATGTAGGTATCTCGACAAAAAATAAGTTATCTCTAGAATAGATTTTTTTTTAAGTGCTATTTTATTTGATATTATATTATAAAGGGGTGATTCGCTGTTATTATATTGCTTATTTTTATTTTGTTTCCCCATTATTGCATGAAAATTAAATTCTATTTCATGACTATTTTTACTTGAGAGCTCCTTATTTCTCTCAATTATATTTTCATCCGCTGTGATTCCTACCATGTCCTTTTTAAAAACGTATGGTTCAATTTCCACATATCGTTTAATGTCTTTCACACTACTTTCTCTATGTATATAATCAATATATTTTTTATTTATAGGATGAGAGAAGCTTTTGAAGATTGCAAATCTGAAGCTCCCACCTATACTTTCGATATGATCTCTTGCGAATGCTGTGCCTATCGTAGCTGGTACAGCTAAATTATGAACTAAGTTAAATTTTATTGGTATGTTACTTCTGCCTATTTTTAAATTGACCCAAATGTCTCCAAATGATTCTTCTTCTTCTCCGTCTATTTCTGTATATGCCACACTAAGTGGGTTTATCAGTTTTGCTCCCACTTTCAATGCTATACTTTTATGCATAAAATTTTCGGTTTTACTTGTGTTAAAATAGTATCTGCAAAAGAACTCCGGGTTTTCTGCTGTTGACATATACCAGTAGAAATCCCCGTTATTTCCGCCGAACATTGGATATTTATGCTTTGTTCACGGAACCAAATTTTGTTCATTTAAATCAAAAATATAAATGTTCATTCTATAAACATATGAATAATTCAAAATAAATTAAAAACACGTTTGCATCAAAAATATATATGTTTGAATTAAAGTCAAAAGCATGTTTATTTCAACAATATAGAATTTGGGTAAACGATTTTTAGCGTGCCCTGCCTTTTTTTCCTTCTTGTTTACATTCGGAAAAAAAAATGCCCCAATCAACTGAAAACGGCCCGCAACAAAACCGAAGTCATGGATTCGGAAACCCACCTAGGTAAGTGTCTTAACAAAGTTCCGGCTCGATAAAACCGGAGGAACCCCAGCGGTATCGACGTCACTCTGTCGTTTCTGATGCCGATCCTGTATCATCCTCCTCCACAACTGACGTCGAAAGAAAAACGAAAATCCGAAATAGATTTTGAATCTATTCCGGATCCTCCAGCCGGGGGGGACCTCATGCCGGCCTCTTTCTACGTTTGGTGTTCAAGGAGGGGGTCCTTGAACACCAAACGTAGAAAGAGGCCGGCATGAGGACCAGCGTTAGAAACGACAAAACGACGCTGATATCACAAAGTTTCACTGGTTTTACTGAACTGAAACTTCCGGACACTCACCCCGACGGGTCCCCGCATCTCGGACCAGGACCCAACATCCACAGCTTACCCTTAATCGCACCCGAAAAAGAGCAGGAGTTTAGATGCCTTGTCTGCGGATCGTTTTTTCATCTCTTTGCAATCCATTTTTTTGCTTTATCCTGCTAATATAATTTAAAATTAAGTATGTTTCTTTCAAACATAAGAAGCATGTTTAAAATAAACATATTTATTTTTGTTCACATACTTGTCAAACCAAACAAAAATATTCACGTTTATTTTCAACACGAATATTTTTAAAATAAACGTAACATTATTTTTGTTTTAAACATTAATATCACATGACTTCAAACATGGAATACGTTTGAAATAAACCTTGTTTATTTTTGTGGCCAGAACAAACTGAGTTTACGTTTAAATTTACCTGAAATATTTTTGTTTCAACGATAAATTTTTCTGCGTGAATGACTGGGTCAAATTTTATCCCAGCGTGAAAACATTGGGAATCTGTAACATGTGTCTTTCCAGGATTCCCGAATTTTAGTTTTTTATGTCTTGTGTTGAAATTATCTCTGATACTGAAATTCTCTCTGCGGTTTTCGTCATTGTATCTATTGCTGTATTCACCTTGGTAATTTCTGTTGTAGTTTCCGTTATCATTCCTGTTGTAATTGTCTGACCTATTCGGTGAACTATTGTTGTTCATATTTCTGCTAAAATTATTATTTTCTTGGTATTCGTAACTCGTGCCCCTGTAACCATTTTGATTTCCATTGAACGGCCTTTGATTAGACCTAACGAAATTATTCGGAAAATTTCCATAAGGTCCAAATTTTCTATCAAACGAATTGTTTTGTTGATGGTTCCGTTGATACTGGTTACAATATTTGGGTTGATTGACATGATTATCCCAATTATTTCGGTTCCTTTGTGATTTTGATTTTTCAGCGATGTGAATACACTGAAGCCTTTTTTCGATATCCTCAATTTGTTCTTCGTCGATACACTCTTCCTGTAAACATTTGACTAGTTCATTGAAGGTGTTATTTTTCTGTGATTTTGCCATATTTTTCAAGTTCCTATTTTTCAAACCTCCCAAAAAATGTATCCTCAAATTCCGTAGTGCATATGACTCTCTGCCTTTGGCATTATTTTCTTCATATTCATCCACGTGTTCTTTTAATGTTAATGCCCTATCTTTGTAATCTTGAAAGGATTCGTTTGGTCCTTGCTCCAAAGTTTCGATTTTCTGAAAAATTTCTTCCAGTTTAATATTTGTCCCAAATTCTCTTTCGAGATTGGTTCTCACTTCGGGCCATGTTTCTGCATAAATGCGTTTGAAATACCCTGATGCCGGAGCTTTCAATTTCATCAAAATTACCTGAATTAAAGGTTCATGCGATTTTTCAACTGGCAATTTCTTAGCGAAGAAATCACATTGGTATAGAAACGATGGTAATTCTGAGGCTGCGCCTCTGAACTCTGGAATGCATTGAATAGCTCTTTCAGTTGGGAACTCTGCCATTTTTTGTTTGTTTTTCGAAGCAAACGAGAAAAAATGCGACTGTTTCTCAGTCCCTTATTAAATTATGGATATTGTTATTATCTTGCCTTTTCGCGAATTTAATTGGACCAAAAACGCTTTCAGCGTAAATTCAAGACAATTTTTTTTCATGTTTTGTGCTTTGTTAATCAAATTTGCATGTTGGCCTTTTAAATTTGTATAAATTAATTTAACGTTCCCTTAAAGTGGTTGATTAAGCATTAAGCATCTTGCAAGAAATGTTGTTTACAAAGATGAAATGTATACTATTTATAATATTGTACGCGTAAAATATTTATAATACGGTAATGTATCAGAACTTTACACAATTTTTTATTTTTTTTTAACTGTGTACTCACCCTATCAGGAGCAGGATCAGGGTTATTCCTTGTTGAGTCTGCGATGAAGTTCCCAGATGAAGTCCCCATATCTTTATAGTTGACCAGATGTGCACCAATGTGCTGTACTCTTTATTAATCACTAGTTCACTTTTTCCTTTTTTTTTTGTAATTTAATCAAAGTCACTTTTTGGTTTTTTAACACTTACTGATTTTAGCCAGTCGAAATTTCGGCGTTCCAACACTTGAAAATAGCGGTTTAGTTTCTGCTGTCACCAGATGAAGCGCCCATACTCCGTTGCGCATCCATGTTTCACTCCCGTGTTGAAGTGCCCAACGTAGAGCAACAACTCGCGTGGTCTTTCTTTCTTCGTAAAATGAAAGACAGTGCAATTCCATTTCTACTGTATGGAAAAAGCTCTTTGATGAATCAGTTATCCTAAGGTTGGAACTGTGCTCGTCCGCACCTAGCAAACCTCGGATAATAAACTCATCAGAACAACTGCTCCGATTCTTTATTATTCGAAACCTTTTATACATGAATTTGTTACTTAAACTCTACACAATAGTTTTTCTCCAGTATGTACATATAAAGCGAGACAGATAGCTTTTCTCTTGGAAAGTCGGTGTCTGTTTTTTTTTAACAAGAATTAATGCTCCTCGCGGTAGGAACGGCTATGTAGGATGCTTACTCACCAATGTTTACTTTGACCTTTCTCGAAGCACCTAGTTAAGCCAGCGCGCATCGCTGACGACGCGGTAGCAACTGTTTATAAACTACTGACCCTGGAAATGTGCAACATTAGGCCGTATGAATAAAAAGAGTTTACTTTACTTTCCCGTGCTCTTCTTACGGGGAAAGTAAAGTAAACGCTTTTATTCATACGACCTATTGTCACTGCTGCTGTTAAGTTGTGTATTTTCTACTACCGTATGGGGGTCTATTACTGGTTAATTTCTTACTCAGATTGATATTGGATTTTGAGGCCTTTGCAAGCTGCACACAAAATATATTTTTGCTAAAATAAAAAATAAAAACCGTTGATGGGCGAATTAAAAGTTAGCGTTGATTCTTTTTGGTGGAAAGCGATTAGATTTTAAAACAAAAGTCAGCCAACTGCCAAATCAAAAGTAGTCCACGCACTCCTTTTAAAAGTATGAACTTTCAATATTAATTGTACTACTGTCAAATGAAAAGCATGAAAGTGTTCCCTAACAAACAAATACCATAAACGAACTGTATCCCGGATGGGTAAAGTATCCCACCAATGGTATGGATGATACCCCGAACACGTCGTTAAGCACTCTTTAATGGTTATTTTTATTAGGGTTGAAATTCAAAGTGAATTATTTTTGATTCAAAATGAACTTATTGCATGAAAGTTTAGTATAGTTAAAATGACAAGAGTTCGTTGGATTTAAAAATAATAATAAATTTCATTTTAAGACAAACATTTTCAAAATTATAACATTGGCTCGGGTACCTGCCCAGTAGCTGTTTAAGAATAAGTCCAAGCAGTAGATAATGACCACCATCTGCGAGAGGTGCTAGAGGTGCCAGATTAGGTCGAGATTATATCCTCCATCAAGGATATGAAGTCACTCGTCCTGTTGCTGGTTGGTACCATTTTGCTAGGCTTCTGTCAAAGACATCTTATCAAGAAGACTGGCAACTTTGTCAGGATCCAAGCGACAGACACAGTAGTGCTGAAGGTGGAAGCAACGCATAGAAAAATTAGAAAATACACAAACCTTTCATCTGAGGATGTAATCTTTGCTATCAAATTCGTTCGAAGAATTTACCTTTGAGCGACAGATGGCGCAATTGTACCTGTCTCCTAGCCTGTCTCATAGCGGTTGTACGAGAAAATGGAAGAGTTGCCAGTCTTATTGATATGTTGACTGCGCTTCTGTTTAGTAAAAAAAAAATGTTATTAATTTCTTTTGTTATCGCTTTCAGGTGGATCTCCTCGATCTCCCGTGCTCCATCTTGAATTTATTTATTTATTTATTTTTCGTCAACCGATGTAGATGTGGCCAGGTCTGTCGGAAAATCTTGGACCCAAACGATCGTCGTGAACAAAGTCGACCTTCTTCTTCTTCGGGACTTCCCCGGCTATCTGAACAACATTCGGAACAACTTTTCTTGAGGCTGGCTTCACCAGAAATAACATCAAACACGTGTCGCTCATCTCGGTCACCACCGGTTACGGAGTCGAACAGCTGATCACTAAAATCCACAACTCTGGGGAACACGTGGCGATGTCTATCTGGTCGGATGCACCAACGTCGGCAAGAACTCCCTGTTAAACACCCTTGTCCGGTCCGATTTGTGTAAAGTCAAAGCAACCGATCTGATCCAACGAGCCGTTTCGTGTTCGTACCATCTATGATATCTTTAGTGTGTGGTACCCGTTTATTAGAGAATATTTAAGAAAATGTAGAGTAATAACACAAACGAAGTGACAGACGACTAACTGGCGAAGAAATCAATTAAAATAATGTGGTTCGCTGTAATATAATTTTCTTAGAAGCTTGTGGCATCAGCCACCAGATAGGCTAGTATTTTCGTTTTGATTTGAACATAGTGATTTTGTGTGCAATATGATCTTTGACAGTGTGCAAAGAGTGTATCATTTTGTCATTTTTTTATGCATTTAGTAGGAGGAGTAGAGTGAAAGAGATAGTACCAAAACATTCTAGGACATTTAGTGCTGCCATGTGGTACAATCCATTAGTAGTGTTGCCATGTGGTACAATCCAGTGTAGTGGTGTTGCCATGTGGTACACTGAAAAATTGCAATAGCAGGTGCGTCACCAAAGTTTTCGAGCCGCTCCGTCTGTCACTTCGTTTGTGGTAATAAGTTGTTTGCAAAAGACGATAGGCCCTTTTAAAAATACGCGAGAAGTCATTGTTTTCAAAAGCTGTTACGCTCTTTTTGCAGCTCTATCTAGATTTTCTGTTTTCACATGCGGTAGTTCGGTAAAATAGATCAGCCTCATGAAATTTTAGACACTCTTGTAATAGATGTGTGAATGTCAGCTGATGAATCAAAACAAGTATTTCCTTATACGATACGACTATCCGTTTGGATACAAAATTGTGCACATAGGGCTTTTAAATGTTTAATCGATACTCACAACTGCAGTACTACATGCACCACCTAAATCGTATAAGTGCGAGCAAGAGGGATACAGATTAGTGGGAAAATAATGCATCATTGTGTGCCAGATAAAAAAAATATTAAACGTCAAATAGCTCAATATCCGCACATGTATTACATGAGTGTCTATACTTGAAATCTGATATCGACAGTAGAAGGGATTTTTCCTAACCTCGCGACAACACAGCGCTTCAGAAGCAAATATGGCAGGCAGAGGTGGACATGATAATAATAGGTAAATTAAATTACAAATTTATAGGTTTAAATCAGTACGGTTTCGGAAAAATGGATCGCAAATTTAATTTCCCTGTGATATATTTATGGACGAAACCAAATTCGATGATCCAGAGTGTGAAAAAAATAGTGAAAATTGTGATTCAAAGTTGAGCTCGTGGTGCGTTTTAGAAGAATGATGGTCTGCTGCTTTGCGCTGTCGGCGAAATGCAAAAAATTACGGCATTCATCCCAAAATAAGCGACCAGTTACAAACAAAAATATGCTAAAAATAAGCCATTAGGAGTGTGAATACGGCTAGGACAGTTCCGGATAGCATCAATTGTGTCACTTTATCAACTAGGCCGACATTGCATAATGAATTGTTTATCCACGCGTTTTTTGATGTTCGCATTTTGAGATATCGAAGGAAAGGTGGTCGCTTGAGTTTGAGTGACCCAAGACGAAATTTCCCACCCATACATACACCTGTGCGAGTTATGCTCAATTGCTGCGGTGTTTAATTTCCAATTAATTGGGAGATAGTGAACTGATCATCATTTTCTTCGGTTTCGTTTCTCTTTTGTTAGATACGGAGGTGAGCGGACCCGTAGACCGCTACCAACGGAACCACCGTACATTGCGTATGTTGGCAACTTACCGCAAGGCGTTGTCCAAGGCGATCTGAACAGGATATTCAAAGATTTTACGGTGAAGAATATTCGCCTGGTCAAAGATAAGGAAACCGACATCTTCAAGGGCTTTTGCTATGTGGAATTCGGCACGCTGGAGGAGTTGCAGAAGGCATTGGATTTGGACGGGATGATAATGCTCAACGATAGTCAGGCCACTTTGAGGATTGACATAGCCGAACAGAAAAAGAATGATCGGTAAGTTGATTTTAATTATTTCACAGTTAAAGATGATAAAGAATGGCCACATAGCTATATAGTTGTTATTAGGTGCACGTCGTTTACCAGAAAGTGCGAAAGATATTCAATTAGGTACCATTTAGGACAACGGTAAAAACCGAGGACAGAGAAAAAACATACAGGAAATGGTTATCCGTTAAAAGGACTTCTTATAGTGAAATAATGACGGTATATTCTTTTTCTGTGGAAGTTAGAAACTTTCAAGCAGTTGCATCAAGCTTGGTTTTATTTGAACACCGGAAAATAAGGTCGCTTAAAACAAGGGTTGGGTGTATTCGTTTAGCGCATTGTAAGCAGCTGACTGCCCTTTTCAGCATAGTTGTTCCGTTCGTTAAAACAGCAAGCTGAGAAAAACACTGTTGAAGATTTTTTTCTCCATGAGCTCTTATGGATAGAACAACGTAGGAAACTTCTCGTGTACATTGTAAAGTGATGGTTCTTGACAATAGATTTCAATGTTTAGCTAATTTTCGCCAAAAATTCTAATGGGACTTTTATACCGCACAGGGCAGTTGAGAGCAGACTTAATTTTCTGTAGGGACGTCATAAACTCTTTAGAAGAAACAAGTTTGAAATCGATGAAGAGAATCTTTCTCTACTAAGCATTCATAAGGCCCTAAGCCGCAAACGTAAACAATGCCGCACATGTCTTTTAATTCCAAATCTCCTTGTAAGTCACAAATTATATCGGATAGAAGGGCTTTTTATTAGGTAATTGTTATTCATGTCGAAGCCGAGTACCATAATCCGGGGGCACATTGATCACTTTTTAACGTAAATATTGAAATAATTTTCTACAGAAAACAGCAGTGACTAACACTTACCGCGAGATTAAAGTATTTCTCTCTACAGAAACTTGGGAAGATGAGAAAAGTTACCGTCAAATGTATCATTTGATAGGTTTTTTTTTATAGTATTTTCATACAAAATATAGGATTAGTACTGCACTGATTCGAGTAGTGTTTGAATTTTGGTCAATAGTGCACCTAATTCCGCACTTTTTTTGGTCAGCTGAAATTTAAATTCTGATAGTTTTTAATATGCTGGAAAATTAGCGGCGCCGGTGGTGTAGTGGTAAGTGTGATTGCCTCTCATCCCAGCAGGCCTGGGTTCAATCCCAGTTGGTGCCGCCGGGATGTTCTGAGGTATAACATCTCTTATCACGCCTTCCTTCGGAAGGGAAGTAAAGCCGTTGGTCCCCGGTTCATGAGTTGATGATGGGTCGATAGGTAGGGTCCAGGTGTGGGAGCTGCCTTCCTGGCGTCGGTAGCATTGGTGCTCAGCACGGAAAACAAGATCGACGGAAAACAAATCAAGGAAAAAAAATATGCTGGAAAGTCTTACAACACTGTTTTCATTAAAATATGTGGAAATTACAATCAGGTATGCATATTCCTGGCAGCGTGAATAAGACTCCACGAATAAGGATACCCACAGCTTATGGGATTTTCACTAATAGGGGCTATGGTAGATTATCTCTTTAATTTCAATAACTAAAGCTGTTAATTTTAACCATTTGCATGAACGATATCAAATTAATTGTCAAGTGAGCGGAATTACAAGCTGCTCGGAATAACCCACGTTCACGGTTATAGTATTGTAATCAATAGCTATGAGGATACTATCGTCCTACATGATTAGCTTTCATTTTGAATGGTTAGTTTAGTTATAAGATCAACCCCTCATAGAATAGCATCCCACACGCTAACCCCAACATACTCAATATTTTTTTACTCATCTAATGGGTAGTTCCATTTTCCCTCGTAAATGCTTACATTATAGTCATGATTGAGTATTTTACAATGACCGTGCAGTACTGTTAGTAAATGTGCTTATTATAGATTTGGAAAAAAAAACGGGATAACTTTGGTATAAATTATAGCATTTGAACTTTTTTTTATTGTCTTGTGACTGAACATCAGTTTTTTGTTTTGGAGTAGAAAACCATGCGTGAATATCAAACAATTTCGATCAAGAAATAAGAAGCTTTGAATGAGTATATAATCAGAAACATCAAAAGTAATAAAAAACAATACATATTGAATTTGTGATGAATTTATAGAAAATGCATTTATTAAGTGATTGCTTGAGTGTCTTTTCAATTAGGCGAAAAACAAGAAAAAATTGTTTTGCAGATATTTAGCAAATATGTTAAACATATATGTATACTACAAAAAACTATATACTATATCTAAGCTACAAAATGGAACCAATGTTTCCAATTCTGAAATAGTGCAGCGTGCAGATTTAATCATTATATTCTACTATCAAAGTTACCCGCATTATCAAAGATACCCCGTTTTACGATAAATAATTTATTATATAACTCAGATTCAGTGACACTAGCCGGCGCCGGTGGTGTAGTGGTAAGCGTGATTGCTTCCTCACCCGAATCGGTCTGGGTTCAATCCCAGCCGAGGTCGGTGGGATTTCTCTGAGGCATAAAAATCTCAGGTCACGTCTTCCTTCGGAAGGGAAGTAAATCCGTTGGTCCCGGCCCATGTGTGTAATGGGTGCGATATCCTACGCAGGTGTGGAAGTCCTCCCCATGGACATGGAGGTTGACGGTACTGAAGCAAAGGGTTATGTTTAATTTCTTTATATTTGCAACGATGATGATTTCCCATAGTGACACATATCACCTTCTTAATGCTTCAGTATGCCTCAAACGATTAATTCTTGGTTGTTAATAGAACTTTCTTGATGAAATCGGCTGCTTCATGCAGACTGAGCAATTCTGATTATAGTATCAGATTTGTTCTGTATACAGAGGAACTGGGAGGGCTTATTAGAAACTTCTCACCAATAAAGTTATGATCTTCTAGTAAATTTTGCATATAATTTTATTAATATTTTATTTTATTTAAGCATATTATTTTTGTTACAGTCAATTAGCTTTAGCATACAATACAAGAGTGCTCGTTTTTGCGTAAAATAATCAATATTTATTTTGTAATTACCTTTAATTTTTTTTGTGATTTGAAAATTTTCCCAGTTTGGTTAGAAGTTTCGAAGCTAACGCATGTCCCCTAACGCTAACGCAATAGATAGATAGACAGAAAAAGTGTATCATGAAGAATGGTTGCATGCAGGGTTGCTTCCACTCACTTGCTATAGATGAGTGATTTTCGGAGTTTTGAATTCGTTAGATGCTGTAATGGAGATTTGTGTTATTGGATGCGGGAGGAGATTGGAGGGCCGGTGTTTGACGCATAGAACCTGTCAATTTCGCTTTCAGAGTGTCGCAGTCAGCGGTTTTATGATTCGTGAGCGCTCGCGATTCGTAGAATCTTTGATTGTGACTGCAAGTGGATCTGCAGGGTTTTGTGTGTCGGACGCCTGCTTTTTGGCCTTTTCTTGTGTCTAACATGTGCGGAGTATCATTAGAGCGTCCAATGGTTTTGAGATTCCTGGTTGCGTGAAATATATTTGTGAGAATATCTTTTTGAGATTTTAGTAGTCACGTTTTGTTTGTAGTTTATATTTTATTTCTTTCATGTAATTATCGTAAATAATAGTTATTCAATAATAGATTGTTCATCCATATATTCGTACTTTGACGCGAAGCGCTGTGCATTATGAGATGCTCGATGACCCTGGAGGGATCGATTTTGCTTACTGAGCAGAAAATCATGGATTTAACCCCAAGCTCTTCCACAGCACAATAAATCGCCACCATCATTTGTATATTTGATATTGAACATTAACCTCGGAAACTATTTGCATATCAAGAGAAAACGTAGTCCTGCATTTTCGCGAAGCGTTATGGTTCGGAGAAGCTCGATGACCCTGGAGGGATCGTTTTTGCTTACTGAGCAGAAAATCATAGGTTTATCCCAAGCTCTCCGTCATGACTCTTAAAATTCATGATCACTAAACAAAATGAATATGTTCTTTCGATAGCCGGCTATCGAGAGATTAAATAAACAGCAAATAAACAATACATACTCTTGGTTGCATCGCCAACTTGAGGTGAATCCTAACCGAATACCCTACCCAACCCTCCAACTCCGTAGCACTTATGAGGGTGTCGCTAAGTCGGTGGCCTCTCGTTAAGTAAGTACTACATCAACATTTCCTTCCCTATCCCTAGTTATGGTAAAGATGGGCGTGGCCAGGAATAGTGACAGTCATGCTTCTGTTACTCTTGTTTAGATTGGAACCAATGTTTACTCCCCAGCATTATTCCTAAAAGTAGTCTAACTGAGAATTTCAGAAGAGACGTGAGTGTCGCTAGTATCCAATCTACGAAGTATATCATAACAACGCTAACGCTAACGATATCCTACGCAGGTGTGGAAGCTGCCTTCCTGCACATTCAATTGCCGTCAATGGATGGCAATCTATGTCCGTCGGTGATTGGCACTAGATTGCGGAACAGAGACCGACGTTAAATAAAGAAAAAAAAAAGAAAGATTCAGTGACACGTAGTTAAGTCAAACAAGCCTTTCTCAACAAACAAGCATGTCCTATAACCGTTTGTTTGAATGATGATTATGTAGGAAATCCCCTAGCGCCGGACATCTCTCATTGCTGATTACCATGGTTTTATGCCTGTTAGTCACGTGTCTTGAAATATATGTTTCTTCTTATTTACCGTACCATTGAAACCAAGGAAATCAGCTATATCCAGTATTGAGAGATGTCCTTAATTGTCCAGAATTGAGAGATGTGCTTAAAACGAAGATATTAAGGTTTTAATGTTTGTGACCACCCTACTTTTGAACCACCTTAGCGGCAATACCAAACCACTTTGCGATGTAGCACAAACTGTTCAATCAGTGAGGAGTAGACTGGCCCACATTTATATGGGGTAAATTTCTTCATTTTTTCAACAGGCCAACCCCTAAATTTGTGCCATTAGGTATGTGCTGCTGGTCTATCCATTCCAGTCGATAGCATTGTTCAAAACCGATTTAAAACGCTTTTACAACGCTCCAAACTGTTGGGCATAGCCA